ATTGTATTTGGAAATTATTAATTGTGAGTCAGTATAAATAGTAATAGTACTCTGTTTTGGGCATGTGCTAACAGCAGGGAGGATTGCTGTAAGTTCTGCTTTGTATGGTGAGGACCAAAGTTTAATTTCTGCTGAGTATTGATGCAATATGGTCTCATCTTGGGTTTGAATCCAACCAATACCCATTTTGCATCTGTCATTGATAATATTGCTTAAAAAACCATCGGTATAAAATGTAAACTGTGAGTAGTGTGAGTTGTTGTGTGCAATTTGTTGAAGAATTTCTGTAGCTTAATTTTGTACAAAGATGTCAGATATAGCATTATTATACAATTAATTTCCTTTGTTATATTTTGAATTTAATAAAAATGCTAGATCCTTTACTAAAACATTTTATTAAAGTGATGAATTAAAACATAAATTAAATTAATAAAGACTCATTGATAATTAGATAATTAAAGGTTTAAAAAAGCAAAAGAAATGTACCCAATATTTAAAAGTTTATACTAAGGCTCAATTTTCTGTTTCAGCTATGATGTTAATTAAATTTAAACTTAACAATTAAATATAATTTTATCATTATGTCTACTATCTTATCTAGTATTGTATTCTATTGTTCTATTCGTCTATTGCTGCCAACACTTATCTTATCTATTCAGAAACAATTATTATTCTTATATGATTATGTAAAATAGTTGCAAGATTTAAAAAGAAAATTTCAATTATGCGAACTTAAAGTCCTTTCATGTTGTGATTGAAATACAAAAGCGCATTCACATATGAAATATGTACGTACCAAAAACACAATAAGTAATAATTGAACTATTGTTCAAATATCTATAAATATGCCACTTGAAATATATTGGCACAAGGTTGTTTGAAATACACATGAACCTTCCATTATTATTATATATATATAGAAATTATTTATAACATATTAAAATGAGTAAAAGCATTGTCATTTCTCATAAGAATGGTAATTGAAATGGACAAGAAATTTATAAAGGAAAATATAGTAAGATCAGACTTGGAACTTACAAAAATATAATGAAGTTAATAGAGCTACCAAAGAACTTAAAGTTGCAGGTTATAAGTCTACCAAAAAGTTATCTAATTCATCTAAGCAAGTTTCTTACAATAAACATAATTCATTGTACCTTTTTATAATAATAGTTAAGTTTTTTAATAGCAAGGTGAACATAAATAAAATAATCCACAAACTTAGAAAACATCATAATCTTAGGAATGTAGATGTAAAAAATGTAATTACATTCTATGGTTTGGTCAGAATGCCAAACGACAAGGTCTGCTTAGTAATGGAATATGCAGAAAATAGAAATTTACATAATCATCTTTCAGGAAATCGACTTAACTTGAAACTTAAAACCAAATGGGCTATTGATATTCAAAGAGGACTATTGGCATGCCATGAACATAGCATTATGAATTTGGATTTGAAAACAAGAAATATTTTTATTGATTACAATTTAATATTAAAAATTGCAGACTTTGGTCTCAGTTATATGAGGCCTGAATCAGATATTAGATATGAAGCTAGAGGTAAATAAATGACCTAAATTGATTGTTTTAGATGACAAATTTTCTGAAATTTATTTCTGGCATATTAGGATTACTTCAATGGGCTTCCCCTGAATACGTTTCCAAGAAACTAAAAATGCAAGAATATTATAAAGATCAACCAGATCTTTCAGGTATACATTAATTTTGTTGATAGTTATTTATTAATAAACTAATTCTTTTGATTTGTAGATATTTATAGTTATGGATTAGTTGTGTGAGAAATCTTAATGAATGGCCAAGAGTATGTTAAGTTCTGTAAATCCACAGATGTTTACAATTTAAAAGTACCACATTACATTAAATTTTTATTTTATCTTGACCATACAATGGCATGGATAGTGACGATATTAAAAAAGCCAAGCTTTCCAGAAGAATTGCTGATTTAATTGCTGTGCTTACTAAAAAAGATGTAAAGGGTGAATTAAAAGATGTAGTCAAAAAATGTTGCAATTATAATCCTCCTGAACACATAGCTTTGAAAGAAGTTGAACTTCTCTTATCAGATTTTATTTAGAAATGACATGCAATAACTATAAAGTATATTCTATTTTTACTTATTTATCCAACTTTATATTTATTTTATATACAGTCAAAGTCATAAGTATCCCACCCCCTCTAACTTTTTAAATTGAAAAGATATAGCTTTAAAATTTTTAT